TTGATGGATTTCTCTCTCTTCCCTCCTAGTCTCACTGTTAACCTTCTGGAACCCGCACCCCACTGCCCAGCTCACTATTGAACCAGTGCCTTCCGACGTTGCTGAAGGGAGAGACGTTCTTCTACTTGTCCACAATGTGTCGGGGAACGCTGTAGGCTACTCCTGGTACAGAGGGCAAATAACAGACCGCAGCCGTCTAATTGTATCCTACTCGAATCTCACACACTCAGCTACCCCAGGCCTTGCCTTCAGTGGTCGAGAGACAGTATACCCCAATGGGTCCCTGCTGTTTGTGAATCTGAAAAAGGAGGACACAGGATTCTACACCCTTCAAACCACAACTGACAATTTTGATGCTGAAGTTGCAACTGGAGAGTTCCGTGTACATGGTGAGTGATGCCCCAGGTCTTCTGGGTGTTGGAGGGGTTAACTCCACTGCGCACACAGGACCCTGAGACCTGGTCTGCCTCCCTCCTCCTATGCATTGTGTCCCGACAGTGGAGTTGGAGCACTTACTGAAGGACACACACAGGACAGACAGACTTCAGAAGATCCGAGTCCTCTGCCTGAATCCATGGGCAGAGAGCAGGGTGGTCTGGTGGGAGGCTCGGCCCAGGCAGAGCAGTCCCAGCCCAGCACCTGTGTCCTTCCCAGGAGCATGGCCCTGAGAAAGACCCTGCAGGACTGAGTCAGGCCTGGCCTGAGGGCCCTGGAGTCCTCACAGAGAAGGGTAGTCCTAGGTAGTACCTGCTCCAGACCTCTGTCCCAGGCTCCTGGCTCCAGGTGACCCTGAGGACATGTGGCCAGGGTTGGAGTTTGGCTTCCTGTTGAGGGCCGCTGGGGAGCAATGATTTACTGGCCACCTGATCTGGTAGCTCCTGCAGGTGGTCACCAGCCAGGGCACAGTCCCAGGAGCCACATCTGGGCAAGGGCACCTGGGCATCTCCTTCTCCTGGGACTAGGTGTGGCGAGCGCAAAGGGACAGGTGCCTCAGGCCAATCAGGTGCCCTGATGGACCTCTATGAGGCTCCACAGGAAGTTCCATGTCCCCAAGGGGAGGAACAGAGGAAAGAGATTCTCCTGGAACTCCTGTTCTCCTGGGACAAATCAAGGGCATTCTCACTGGGAGGCAGATAAGAGTAGGGGCTTGTTCATTTGGGGACAGCTCCTCCAAACCAAGGTCAGGTTACTGTGAGTATTTCAAGGTTGATTTATAGACAACATGGTGAACCAGACACCACTTCCCAGGTATCCAATAAAGGGAAACTGAGGAACGGGGAACACAGCTGCTGAATCAGGTCACATAGACCAAGGGTGGCAGGTCAGTGGTGCATGTCACTCTGCAGCCAGAGCCCGGTGCTCTGCATGCTGAGGGCCTATTAGGCGTCTGTGGTCCAGAGACCAGCCATTGGCTCAGGGCACTGGCAGCCTGGAGGGGACAGTCTGCTCTAGGAGTGAGAGCAAATGGAGGATAATCAATTTTTACTCTGGAACCAAAAAACCTGTCTCAACAGAATGTCCAGGCCTCCCCCTCCCACAGCTGGTCCACGCCTTCCCTCACTGAACTTGAAGTCTCCTGTTTCCTGGTGTGTTGGGTGTCACTCCCTCTGTGGCATAAGGTGTTTCTTTTTTTCTATTCTGGGGGGAGCAAGGAGAATAAGGGTACCAGGAATTGAACCCAGGGGCAGTCAATCACTGAACACATCCCAGGCCTGTTTTGTATTTTAGATGGAGACAGGGTCTCACTGAGCTGCTTCAGCCTGACCATTGCTGAGGCTGGCTTTGAACTCACCATCCTCCTGTCTCAGCCTCCTGAGCCCCTGAGATTACAGGTGTGCGCCACCAGCCCAGCCCTCTGGAGCATAAGGAATAGGACTTTTCTTTCTCACGCCCCACCAGAGCCTGCAGCCAGCCTAGGGCCCACTGTGTGGCCAACTCCCAGTGGTTTTATGACAAGGGAGGGAAGGATCATGAATGAATGACCTTGAACCTCTTCAGAGCCTGGAACCTGAATGTGCAATCCCAGGGGGTTCTGCCACCTGCTCCCTGTCCCTCCTGGAGGCTGAGGCTCTTGCTCCATCCCACCAACCACCTCTCCTGAGGCCAC